AAACCAGGGAAATCTGATCCATAGATGCCCTAGACAAAACTACAGTCTGGCCTCAAGCCAACTGATCAGTCTTAGTGTGCCTGAAAGATACAAGAATACCCTGCTCCGAAATTTGAACATCAAACAAGGAAAGTGCCCTGCCTGACTTGTCAGAGCGTAAGCTGGGAACAAGTTCTCTAATCCTAGTTGGTGTAAAATTGCCAAGAAAAATGCCACCCAGAACAATATAACTTCCTCAGGCTACAATTTCTATCCTCAGAGGCCACACTTCAACCACTCCAGGATCAGACAAGAGCTGTCTGAAAGCTCGGATCACGAGCTGATAAGACTTGCGTGTTGACTGAGCGACGAGCTGAAGAATCACCCTGTCGATTTCCACTCTCCAAGGCTCCGTGCGTATGCCAGTACCTACAATGGCTGCACTGCTGCCTCCAGATCCAGTTAATGAAACCTGGAAAACTGAAAATGCAAAAAGGGGCATCCACGAAAGAATTTAGTAAACATGAACGTGGTGAGTCTGTACAACACATTGTACTATAAACACTGCGCAACCATAGGCATAACCAATACCATCACCCTGGGAGCTTTGAAGCTTTGGGAGTTCACCACATGAACCACTGCTTGGTTGTCACACCAAAACCAAACAGTTCTAATTGCAAATTGAGTTGGCCGCAAATGAACTGCTACCACAATAGGGAAGAGTTCAAGAAATGTAAGATCGTGGGTCCCACCATCATTCAACAAAAAACCAAACTGAAGGGTTCTGCCAAAAAATAACCAGGATAAAATAGTCCCACTTCCAATTCCAAAAAGGCAGCAATATAAAGAAATAAAAGGATAACTAAACCCTGGAGTAAAAATACCCCACTGAAAAGTATGCAAATGCTAAAAATAAGTATTATAATGATAATAAAAATTTCAAAAATCAAGGCTAACCCCCCCCCCCAAAAAAAAGCCCTGAACCCTGAAGTAGATAAGTCAGTAAAATTTCTAAAAGGGTAAAAATACTCCACAGAAAAATGTGCAAATGTTAAAAATAAAATAATATAATAATAGTAAATAATAAAAACTCAAGGCCAGACGTGTTTTGACAATAGTCTTCCTCAGTGGCCTACAAGCATTCAAAAGATATATATATATATGTAACAACTCCTCAGCTCACACAATGGGGGGTTGCAGACTGCCAGAAATAGTGCAAATTGAGTCCACTTTTAGGGTTAGTGCTAGGGAATCATGGGAATTGTTTTTTTTCTGAGACATTGAGCTTTCTCTGTCAGACAGCTCTGGTGCCACAATAAAATACAGTTCCCATGATTCCCTAACCTTAACCCTAACCCTAAAAGTGGACTCAATTTGCACTATTTCTGGCAGTCTGCAACCATTAGTGTGTCAGTGGCTACAGGTCGCAGAACTGTACCAGGCCTCACCAGGCCTTCTCCCTTCTCGGGAGACCAGGCCTCAAATGGGGCTGCTTTACCCCCAATCCACTCCACCTGGGCTTCCCTTTAAATGCAGGGCCAAGCCATGGGAAAAAGTGTCTACTGGGGATCACCTCGGCCTCCCCCGAGGTCCCTCCCCACACACTCAAACCTCCACACTCAGGGGACCTTGGGGGGTGATGCCACAGCACAACAACCCATCCATTGATGCAGCGAGTCCTCCACAGCCTCCTTCCAGGCCCCTCCGATGGTGAGTGGGGCCAAATGCAACCAGGCCACCCAAACCTGCCCACCAACAGACTCAGGAAGAGGCCTGGCCACCCATCAGACTCCTCCTGAGTTGCGTGGAGGCTCAATCGGCCTAAAGCAGGGCCACACATCTAAAGGATAGGCTGCGCCAGGCCCAAATGTGACCAGGCCACCCAAACCCACCCACTGACAGGCTTGGGAAGAGGCCTGGCTGCCTGTCGGACTCCTCCTGAGTCTCGTGGAGGCCCAATCAGTCTAAAGCAGTGCTGCGTGCCTAAAGATAGGCCGCGCCAGGCCCAAATAACACTGAGCAGTCAAGCACTTCACTTGACTGCTCTGACAAAATGGCTGTCACCACGTGGCAGCAGAGGGCTATATAGCCCTCCAGTTCTCGTTGGTAATCTCGTGAGATTCTTGTTCTCGTGAAATTACCAATGTGCTGGGGATCTTGCAAAATCCCCTCTGATTGATTGGGTGATGCAGGAAGGGTGGGACTTCCTGTCCACCCAGCCAATCACGGTGCCAGAATCTTCAATTGGCCGGCACAACAGAGAGCCCCTCCCAACATGTTGGGGGGGTTCTTTCCCTGGATTCCCTGGCACTGAGCCAGAGCTGTTGAAGCAGTCTCAAACTGGATTATTTTTTCAGTACAGTATGGACCTCAGTTTGCAATCAAAACTCAACAGAAGTTTTTTTTTTTTTAAATCAGCATTCAGAACTATAAATGGCAGACAAATCTTGGTAATTCTTAAAGTGGAATATTTAAATTGCAAAAAGAACAACCCATTCTTATCCCAAGAGGACAGTCAAACAGTATTTTAAAAACATTGCCTAAACTAGATTTCTATCATGTAGGGTTGCTATAATTCTCTTCCATTAAACAGGGACAAACTGTAGGCTATTCAAGAAAAATGGAGGACATGACCAAGTAAAAGCCAAAAACATTCATAAATTTAAAAAAAAAACATTAAATTCATGCATGCTCAAAATAGAGTAGATTTTGACATTCTTCCTGGACAGAAGGTTGAAATGTAGCTCCTCCTCTCTGGCCAACATGACGTATTATCAACAATCCACCCCCCCCCCCAAAAAAAAACCCAGGTTGGAAGTGACTTGAAGGTAAACAACACACACATACCACCATATTATCAGCATCATTCCCTCAAATAGCCATCCCAAGCAGCTGAATGCTTATAAGTTTGGAAGCAAAATGGGACTACCCAAAATAAGACAGTTTTATCTACATAACTTGAGGGCTCCCTAGTTTATCAATCAAAACAATGTCCTGCACCTCAAGTCCTCAAATAACATAGGAACTGGAAAATGTTATTTTAGTCAAAAACATCTGAAGGACCAAAAGTTCACAACCCTTGCTTTAAAATTAGTGGATTAGGTCATTCCAACCAGGCTCACCCTAAATTTCACTCCAGGGATCTATTTCTTCAAAGCACTGCAGTTGCCTTATGGGGCTTCCTAATGGAGAGGATAATTATGATTACTTGATTTATATTTTTTTCCATGTGAGTTAGAGTGGCTAATGTCTCTGTCCTCTTCCCTTTCCTGAGTACTATAGTATGTGGAGAGCAAAAAGCCTAGGCAGCCCATATGACTAAATGGGGGTGGGGAGGCTCTGTCATATTCCCCACTTTTTTGTGGTTGTTGTTGTGTGCTTTCAAGTTATTTCTGACTTATGGTGACCATAAGGCGAACCTATCACAGGGTTTTCTTGGCAAGATTCTTCACTACTGTCTTACAAAAGAGAGGATACACTGTACCACTTAGTTGGTGGTACAGCATATCCTTGGTCTAACTCAGTGATTCCCAAACTTTGATTCTCTAGATGTTTTGGACTTCAACATCCAGAAGCCCTAGCCAGTTTGACCAAAACTCAGGAATTTTGGCAACTAAAGTCCAAAACATTTGGAGGACCAAAGTTTAGGAAAGTTTACTAATACAGATGATCAAATGTCTCTCAAACTGGAAGCAACACAGAAGCAAAATAAGGAAGTTGTAGATGGGCTTACATATAGCAATAGCAACTTCTATTATATTATATTATATTATATTATATTATATTATATTATATTATATTATATCCCACACTATGTAGTCTCTAAGCAGTTTACAACTGTAAGAAAATTGCCCCCAACAAGCTGGGTACTCATTTTAGTGACCTCAGAAAGATGCAAGCCTGAGTTGAGCCTCTGCCCTGGCTAGTATTGAACTTGCAACCTTGGGGTTTGTGGGTGAGTGGCTGCAGTACATGCATTTAACCACTGTGCCACCAAGTCTACATATACAGAATAAATTAGGAACTCAAAACACATAGCTAAGTGGCAAACAGAGAGGAGACAAGTTCCACGAGCTTTAAGGTAGTCACTGTTTATTCAGTGTTTATTTAGCGTTTAAAAAATCCAATGCATTTTGGCCACACTAGGCCTTCTTCAGGGGCTGAAAACAAATATAAATACATTTAAAATAAATATTTAAAAAGATAGGACAACTGTCATCAAATTATGATACAAAATTATTTTTATAAATCTTATCAAAGTTATACATACCCTTTCAGAGCAATCACTGCAGTTGCAAACACTTTCCAAATTACAGGACAATAGAGATCATGGGACCAGACAGTGTAGCATACTCCAGATGACCTTAGAAAGGCATAACCAATGAAATGTCTTGGGATAGGACAGAGGGACAAATGATGCAATCTCTCCTGATATTTGATCATTCTGTTCATGTCTTTTATAATTATATTACATTTATACTCATACATGTGCTCTGATGTATAATTTCTCTGTTATATTCAAATTAAAGATTCTAGGTCCAAACCTTCATTTAAACCTGCAGGCACCAAGGATTTCAGTTTTAGAATCCATTCTATATCTTTTTTTTTCTTTAAAATATGTTCTTTATAATTATAAATTCTTTCTATAATCCAAAATCAGAGATCAGCTATAGAATGTTCAATTTCTACAAAATGACCAACTAAGGGAGCTCCACCACGTCTGTGGTGAGTTTCCCAGAAAGAAAGAGTAGTAGCCAACAACAACAAATATGGTACTGATCCCTGGTGTGTTGGAAGAATAAAATTGCTACATTCCTGCACTAGATAGCTTGAGAGGTACAGTTGTGGACTAGAGTCCTGTTTTTGTTTTCTATTAAGCCTCTTCTCCAAGGAGTTTCAGGATCCTATACAAGCAGGAGTGTAGTTATGGGGAGGAAAACATATTGCCCTTGAATTAAGAATTCTGTCCCCCAAATCCAATTTCCTTTCAATCCCCAAATTTTTGGCACTGCAGAGAGTGAGACTGTGGTTTAGTGGTTTGTATGTTGCACTAGGACTCTGGAGACCAGGGTTCGATTCCCTGCCAGGACATGGAAAATTTTTGGGTGACTTAGGCAAGTCATATTCTCTCAGCCTCTTCAGCAGAAGGCTATGGCAAACCTCCTCTGAACAAATCTTGCTAAGAAAACCCCACCATAGGTTCACTTTAGGATTGCCATGAGTCAGAAAGGACTTGAAGGTACATAACAACAAATAAGTGAGTACTGTACTTTTAACTATAGTGGAGAGCCAGCATGGTGTAGTGCTCTGAGTATTGGACTAGAACAGTGGGAGACCAGTGTTCAAATCCCAGATCAGCCATAGAAACCCACTGGGTGACCTTGGGCAAGTCACACTCTCTCAGCCTCCTCAGAAGAAGGTAAAGGTAAACCCCCCTCTGAAGAAACTTGCCAAGGAAACTCATGATAGGGTCACCATAAGTCAGAAAGGAGTTGGAGGAACACAACAACAACAACAACAACAACAACACAAAACCCCAGTCAGTCCTCTCCCCTGAGAAGTTGTGTTGCTACATGGCCCCTCCCCCCTCCCTCCCTGAGCTTCCCCTGCTGGCCTTCTACCTGTTGGAGGAGTGGTGTCCCTTGATACCTGAAAGCAAGTGGTGGCCTCTTCCTTGCACCCTGTTTCTGCAGGGTCCTTGTGGAGCTGAAGGGAGGCCTTCTGGTACCCACACTGGATCTCCTCAGCTGCAGCCCCACGCCTCACCCCCAGCACCTTGTAGAGGTCAGAGGCCCCCAGGGAGACCTGGCACTTTCCCAACAGACCCATTTCCTGCCACTTTTCCCTCCAACAGATGAACCCTCATATGCCTGCCTGCTTTGTTGTTTGCAGCTGGGACTCAAAACATCTGAGCAGTGTCCAAGGTCAGGATGTGCCAGAGAGCACATAGACCAAGTTTAAACATATTGTGTCATCATGTTTGAGGGACAATAATTCAAGTGACATAGGAATAAGTCACAGGAAGAGGCTGGATTTAGAGGCTGCATGGCAAGTGTCTATAAAAAAAAACTGAGACCACAGTATGTGGGTTGTCTTGGGTTGTCGTTGGACAGTGGTGAGTGTATATAGTGTTCTGTACATACTGCAACTAAAGAATAAAAGTGCCTCTTTGGAGTTAAACTTGGCTTCAGTCTGTTTCATCAGAAGCAGACAGGATGCATTCCTGAACAACCAGACAACTCCAACGTCACTGGGTGTTTTGCTCTGCGAAGTGAAGAAAGCTTCTGAAAAAACTTTGTCTGCATACTCAATTGCTTGACAAAGATTATGGGCCCAGTCTGCTTCGTCTTCGCTGAGGAGTTAATCAGGTTGTGAGTGAGTGGCACTAATTCTGTTGCTACGATTTCTTCCTCCATACACTGTCGGTGTCGGAAGGCAAGAATGCTAAGATTTTTGGACTATGGTTTGTGTTTTATCACAATAGACAGTGGAAGCTGGGAAACTGTCAGGATTCTTGAGTTCTAATTAATCATGGAGGCAGTTAAGTTTCTCAAACTAGATGAAGGCAATTATACTGCATGGAGTGCCTACGCTGAATCTTTGCCAATTAGAGAGGGACTGTGGGACGTAGTTCAGAATGGAGCTACAGCAAGTACTCAGAAAAATGACAGAAAAGCAAAAGCAACTATCTTTTTTTCAATCATACCGGCTCAAATTAATTATGTCCTGGAAAAGAGAACTACAAAGAATGTGTGGGATACTCTTAATGACATATACCAGTCAAGTACAGCATTGTCACAGATGATCTGGTGTAGAAGACTATATGCTTGCAAAATGCAGCAGGGACATTCTCTGAAAAGACATCTGGAAATCATCAAAAATTTGTTCAATCAGGTTCAGATGAGGGTTGTCGAGATCCCAAGAAAACAAAAAACATACATTTTGCTGGGGAGTCTCTCAAAGGACTATGAGCATATTCTGTACAGTCTCCAGAGAGTTCTTGATTGTCAGATTACAATAGAGTTGGTAGCTGCACGTGTCTTGGAAGAGAGCCAGCGACACCAATATGAGACTGGGCTCCACAGGCAGCAGCAAGCAGTGCTAAGATCTGCACAAAAACTGGAGGCTTCCAGGGAACTACAACCAGAAAAGGCAACAGTGTCCAGAGAAAGTGTTTTCATTGTGGAAAGCCTGGTCATCTAAAAAAGGACTATAGAAAAATTGCAGCAGCTAGAAACAACAGCCCAAAGATTCTGGGACCAGGAGGGATGTTGTGGCTGTGGCAAAGGGCAGTGACTGTGTAACTCACCAGGAAGTCAAGCCTAATCCGGTTTGGATTCTTGATTCAGGATCAACAGGACATATGGTAAACACACCTAAGCTCCTAAAAAATAAGAAATCTTCCAATGTGCCTTCAGTTGCTTTGGTTGGTGGTATACCAAGGGAAATAAAAAACATGGGAACTGTGTTCATCCCTGAAGGACTGAGCTACTGAAGGACTTGAGGGACTTGAGGAAGGTGAGTTGGGTGGGACAAGCATTAAAATTGTTACTAGTAGAACAGCTGCTGAAATAGGAACTGTTCCTTTAAATCTTTACAATGTTAACAGCAGACAAATTGCTAGGACTGGAAAGAAGCTACAACCTGGGAAGAGTCCTCCCGCCCTCTCTCCTCATTCTTCCTTACTTTGTAAGACATTGCCTATATATTAGGGGGTGGGAACTAGCTGGAGCA